ATATATATATATATAACAAAATATATAACAGTATAAATAAGTCTGATGCATATAATTAGTGGGGGGGGGGCAAGGACACAACATTATCTGTAGTCTTTTATTATAATTGTAAAAGACATAGATTAGGGGCAGAGATAGATAGGATTGGTAGATGATAAATTTGGCGTGTTGGGATTATTGTGAATTTATTTCCTTTTGCTCATGTTTCCATGGTATTAACACTGAAAGAAATTGATCTAGGGCAGTGGTTCTCAGCCTTCCTAATGCCGTGACCCTTTAATACAGTTCCTCATGTTGTGGTGACCCCCAATTTCATTGTTACAAATTGAACATAATTAAAGCATAGTGATTAATCACAAAAAATATGTAATTATATATGTGTTTTCCGATGGTCTTAGGAGACCCCTGTGGAGGGGTCGCGACCCACAGGTTGAGAACCGCTGATCTAAGGGAAAGGTCTGCTCATTGGGGTGAATGACAGCAGGTAAAGCTGGGGGTGGGAGTCTAGGTGAGTTGGGGCCTAAATGAAGCTAGGAAGCTTCCAGGACATGTCACAGGGTGAGGTGGGTGTTCGGCCACAGACACAGCAGGGGAAGCAGAGGGTTGGAATGCAGAACCAAGGACACACCTGGGGACCTCGGGGGTCAGAAGCTTGTGTGTCGTCACACGGGCCATTTGAGAGCCTGGCCCTGCGGCATGGTGGGGGGCTGGGAAGATTGGGCCAGGGCCACTTGTAGCAAATAAGCCTCTTAATTGATTCAAAGAACAGTTCCTTTCAGTATCTTATGGAGTTCATTGTGTTTTTTAAAACCTTTTAATAGGATTGCCTTTAGGAGCTCTGTAATTTTTTCAGTTCTCCTTGTTTTTGAGAGGAAAACTGTGTTGTAGGAGAGACTGGTGGGGTTTTTAGCCATGACTCAGACCTGGTTTGCTGTAGCCAGCTCTGCTGAGGGGGGCTCAGAGTCCCTCTCTGCCCCTTCCCATCTCTCCAAGCCTCAGTTTTCCTGTTCTGTAAAGTGGGAACAATAACTCCCTGCTAGAGCTGTGGTGAGAATGAAATAAGATTGTGCATGGAAAGCACTTGGCAGGGTGCCCAACTACAATGAACACTTAAACTCGCGGGCGGGGGGGTGGGGGGGTGAGATGGGGACTTGATCATGAGTATAAGCTGGGTTTGCAGCCCATCAGCGGACCTGTCCTCATCTCAGATGATTGTGTGTCACCAGCCACCTCTTGGGAACCTGGGAGCCAGGGGTGCTTAGAAAGCCTTGTAGCCCTTTGGCTCATTTTTCACGAGGCTTCTGGAGGCTCTGGGTTCATTTGTGGTGCTATTTCTCTGCCTGGGCTGCGCACGGGGGATCTCAACCCCTAGGCCATCCCCAGACCGACTGAATCACAATCTTGGGGCGTGGGGCCCAGGCATCGGAGTTCTTTAAAGCTTCTATGTTTCCAATGTGCAGCCAGGACTGAGAGCCACAGGTTAGACTGTGAGGCAGGGAAGATGGGTGCCCTGAACTCTGTCCTGGCCAAAGCATTGCTAACACGTTGAGGGATAGAGTCACCCCGATGACTCATTCGCACTCCCGATAAGTCTTCATTTCTATCTGGATCACTGCATATTTTTTCTTTCTGTGCTTTCATTTTCTTTCTATACTTTTGTAAACAAAAGGAGGGGGCTCTGGGCCAGACAGCCTGGGTCAGAAAACAAGGTGTTTCTCACCAGCTGTGTGACCCTAGGGCATGTTGCTTGGCCTCTCTGTTCCCAGTTTCCACGTCTGTAAATGGAGGTTCACGCCCCCAACTTCATGGAGTGTTTGCAGTGTGTTATAAAGGGCTTTGCACGGAACTCAGAAATGGCAGTAGTTTGCCCACGGCTGCCCTAGAGCATGTTGCTTGGCCTCTCTGTTCCCAGTTTCCGAGTCTGTAAATGGAGGTTCACGCCCCCACTTCATGGAGTGTTTGCAGTGTGTTATAAAGGGCTTTGCACGGAACTCAGAAATGGCAGGTACTCTAGTTGTAATCACTACGATTTCCACTACTGTAGGTATTATCACCAGTCTCGTGATCATCTTGCTGGGTTGACAGACGCTTATCAAGAAAGGAGGGATCCTGACCCCAATGGAAAAGGAGAGAAATGTTGCAGTGCTAGGCTCGGAGGGGGTGTGGCAGGGAGGCACCTGGGCTGCCAGTGGCCCCTCCCCCAAACTGGTCAGCCGTCACAGGTGGTGGTTTCCGTGAACCTCAGACTTCCTCCCCACCCTAGAGAAGGAAAAACTGTTACGCTTATTTAAAGACTTCCCTGATTTTAAAAATAGGCATCCCTCAGAACACAGATGCCCAGAGGCTGGCGGGGGGGTTGGGGGGGTGAGGGCCCAGGGGTGGTGAGCTTGCTGCTGGGACCCTCCAGGTAGTTGTAGTGGGAACCTGCAGTCCTCTAGCCACAGAGGATCATACCTGGGCAGGAACCCACCGGGTCTCTGCCCTGATGGGGATGACAGACTCCAACAGTCACAGAAACTGCTGGACCTGACTCCACAGGGGAGGAGAGAGGGACCCTTTGTGAGTGCAACGGGGGTGGTAGCTGGTCTGGAGCTGGGATTCTTGAGAGAGACCTCCTGAAGGGGGTTATTCTTTTGTTGTTGTTGTTAATCCTCACCTGAGGATATTTTTCCATTGACTTTTAGAGAGTGGAAAGGAGGGGGAGAGACAGAGAGAGAGAGAGAGAGGGAGAGAGAGAGAAACATCGATGTGAGAGACATCGATTGGTTGCCTCCCGCATGGTCAGGGATGGAACCTGCAACTGAGGTGATGCCCTTGACTGGAATCGAACCTGGACCCTGCAGTCCATGGGACGATGCTCTATCCACTGAGCTGAACTGGCTAGGGCCTGAAGGGGGTTAAAGAAGACAATGACACAGTGGAAGAGGGGCTGGAGTTTTAGGCAAGGGAAAATTGCAAAGGCCCTGTGGTTGAAGGAGCGTGTTGCTTACAGAGGGCTGAGTACATTGTGGCCCAGCAGAGAGGGTGGTGAAAGTGAGGTCAGATAGGCAGGCGGAGGCCACAGCATGCAGAATAGGCGTGGGCCTCTGGAAGGCACTTGGTCTTTATTTTTAAGAGCAGTGGGAAGCCCAAGAAGTGTTTTAAATAAGGGAGTGTGTCAGAGGTCCCCAACATCACCCAGGTTCAGCGTTTTGCTAGCAGAGCTCAGAGAACTCAGCCTACAGCTTGACTGATGGCTATGAGTTGTTACAGCAAAAGGACACACATTAAAATCAGCAAAGGGCAAAGGCACCCGGGGTGAAGCCCAGAGGAAACCAGGCTCCAACTGGAGTCACACAGGACGTGCCGGACACCTTCAGCCACGAGTTGTGACTCCGCATGCGCGATGTTGCCCACCAGGAAAGCTCGATAGAGACTCAAGGTTTTCATTGGGGGCTGCTCACATAGGCATTCTGTCCAGCCCTTACAAAAATGGTGGACTCTGAGAAGGCAAGCAGGTGTGCAACATAAACTACATTGTTTACACAAACTGTGGGCACAGTGAGCGGTTCCTATCAGGGAATGCTATGAACCCTCCCAAAATCTCAACTTCCCAGATGCCAGCCAGGGGCCAAGCAGGCCTTTTCTGCACAGGGAGTGACATGGTCATGTTTGCTGACGAGAATGCGAGAGTGAAGGGGGCAGCAGTGGGAGCTGGTACATCCTCCCCCTGAGAGGAGGATGCAGGGCCAGGGCCCTGGCAGGGGATGGGAGACATAATTA